CCACCTATACGGGAGGCAGACGCCAATCACTCAGCCGTTTGCACACAAAGAGGTGATCTGAACGATATATTCCCGCCGCTACCCTCCGGAAGTATCTCGTTCATGAGATTTGAAGAAAAACTACGCATATTCGGGCAAGAGCCGGACAATATAGAATTATCAGCGGCAATTGACGACCTTTGGAAGGGAGATCAAAAGGAAATACGGGATAACGTAATGCGAATCACAGCTTTGGTCCATGCACATACAGGATATAGATTCATCGCTACGTCAGTTGAGCTTTATCCATTTTTATTCAAGGCCATTTGATGCTGAGAAAAGAATATAGCACTCGAAAATATAACGAGAAACAATTTGTCACGACTACAAATCTTCATTGCATCCAACGCGACACCGATCATCTAGCAGCGCAAAGGCTCCGTTCCGATCAACCCAAGAGAGGGATAACGGAGAGGTTTGTGTGCCACGGTAAAGCCAAGCTGACCTTTGATCACCGCTCTCGGCAAGTATTCCTGCAGCTAGTTCATCGCAGCAGTCACCCTGCTTATATGAACACGTCCCTACCAACGAAATGGGCACACTATATCCTTGAGCGACAAGATTCGGACCTTGATACGGTGCGAGCTATTCTCTCATTGTGATGCAGCTCTGTATCTGACATTGCCCCTGTTTAGCTATGGGAAGACATGGTGGACCAAAACAATCAAGCAGGAGGGGGTCCCTTTCCATTCACCAAAGGCACCGTAAAGCACTACATGGATCATTTACTCAGAACCAATGATACCGGTCATGTAGGCTCAGCTAATGAGCCCAATATTGGGTTAGAAGGTGATGACACTACCCATGACCCCTGTCCACCCCCCGCCTTTATGGATGAAGAACTCGAAGGAATGGACATAGATACTTGGGTCGACGAAGGAGACTCTATTCCACCTGTTCTTCCACCAGGAAAAGATAGCGACGACAATGGCGATGAAGAGTCCGAATATTATGGCGCCATTTCACCTGGACCTTTAGGGGAGATGTCTCAAGAAGTGAATGGAAAGGTGATTTTATTCATCCTTGGATAATGAGTGCCTTTCTGATCTAGTTGATAGAGTTATGACGAAGGAGACAACCAACAGATCAAAGCGGCACTCGATCTCTTGGCTTCTTTAGGTCACGATATGGAACCGGATGAGGTCGAAGAGTTCGATGCGAGTCTCTTGATCCTGAAGCGAGTAATTCGTCGGCACCAACAACGAATCCGGATGGCTTGAGCCTGTATAGACGATAGCTCACTCTTAAATAACGCCCAACATTTCGAGGGAATATACGACCCGGTAGCTTCCGAGTTCAGAGACCCTCTGTATATGGCTCTGTTTGCTCTTTCGGAGAAAGGTAGACTAGGATACATTCTCTACAAGTACCAATAGAAATCAGTGTATTTATATAGCCACAATTTCCAGTCTTCCCATATCTAGGAAACTCATTATTTTCTGCACTGGTGTTCGATAGTGACTGCGGACGGGGCAAGACTTTCAGCTCGATTTGTAACAGTTTATCGTTATACACGCATTTTGGCTTACAAGTTATGTGATATGGACATTTTAACCTGTTACCTCGTTTGAAATAGTCTGATTGCATCCCGTTAAATACGAAGACGAGGCTTAAAGGTCATAATCCTGGTTGAATCACACCACCTTGATGCCATAGAATTATTCCTCCACAGAGTCGAGCGGCATATTGGGTACGAGTTCACCCTCATCACGTGCAGGCCAAACTCAGAAACGACCACAACCCAGTTGTCCGCTCTGTATACGACGTTCTCCTCATTCAATGTCTGGTTCAGATCCAAAAGGTTGCATCTCGTGCAGACAGCCTTGGAAGCTCGTTTCGCGTGCCCGTAGGGTTTGGATGAGCGACGCAGGGCAAAGGGACAGCCTCCTATTGTGGTGCGAGGCGTGCTATTCAAAGCGAACCACAACTATCGACAACCCATACTGTGACCAAGAAGGGGAAGAATTAGACGCGTCGACTCTGCCTAGCAAAATAGTGTCGTTCACAGCATTAGAAGAAGAGTTGCGCCTGCTTGGGCAACAGGCAGGATGGACAGATTTCTCGATCGTGATTCATGACCTCTGGCAGGGAGAAGATGAAGGAATGCGGAGAATTTGCTTACAGCTCAGCACTCTAGTCCATGAACATACGGGATACAAATTTACGTCCAGGTCAGTTAACCGTTCTTGGGCCGATTGATAAACGACTGATATTCATGATTAAATACAGAAATATAAGAATTGGCAAACGTCAATTGACTACAACTTTTCAACTCCAGTGCATGCAACGCGACACAAATCATAAGGCGGCTCAAAGGGACCGTCCAGATCTGCTCAAGATATCAAGTACTATTCGAATGGAAAGGTTTCCGTGTTATGGTTGGGGAAAAGTCGTTTTTCATCACCGTCCTCGTCAAGTATCTTTGTGGCTATCACATCGACTCACTCACCCTCCCTATTTGAACACAACTATCCCTGTGAAATGGGCAGAATATATCGCTGAGAGACGTGACTGGAATCTGGACACAGTAAGTGCTCTCATATTGTGGTCCGCCTCCCCATCTGACATGCCCTGGTTTGCCCTGGTTTAAGTTGTGGAACAAGATTGTGAATGAAAACAAAAGAAGTCGCGGGAAAACCCTCTCATTCACCAAGCACACTGTGAGTTGTTATCTGGGAAAGTTAACCAGAGCAAACAAGGGGAAGAAGAGAGCGCCGTCTCCTTCGCTTTCATCATCGGATCTGACATCGCTGGATTCTTCCTCGTCACTGGATTCTTCATCCGAGGCCGGTGGCGATGACAATAATGACTTCGACTCTGAACCCGTAGCCTCCCGTATGAATGAAGATCACGCCGGGACAGCGCCTTACAAAACCGTGTCGTTCGCAACGTTCAAGGAGGAATTACACCTTCTTGGTCAACAACCAGATTGGAAACGATTTTCAGCCGTGATTCATGGCTTATGGAAAGGAGAGCGCGAAGGAATACGAGCTACTGGGTTGAAAATTAGCGCCTTAGTTCATGAACAGACGGGATATAGATTTGACCCCACGTCCGTTGATCAGTCTTTACTTGACAGTAATTGACTGATACTAACTATGATACACAGAAACCTCAGACATACCAAAACGAAAATGGTTACAAATCTTTACTCTCACTGTAGACAACGAGAGGCAGATCACAAGGCGACCCAAAGGGTCGGTTCGGGTAAGAACAGAGCGGATTATCGAATGGAACGATTCCCTTGCCAAGGCGCAGGAAAATACATTTTTGATCACCAATCTCACGAAGTCCATGTCCACCTATCCCATAGAATATGCCATCCACCGTATATGAACACTAGTATCCCCACGAAATGGGCAGAATATATCATCAAGAAAAGTAACCGGGATTTGAATACTGTGAGAGATATTTCTCAGTTGTTATTCGTATTTCACATCGCTCTCATTCAGCTATGGAACGAAATCGTGAATGACAACGAACAAAATGGTGGCGGTCCTCTCTTGTTCACTAGGCAAGCAGTGGGCCATTACCTGAAAAAGAAGGTTAGGAGGGGCAAGAGGAAGAGGACACCATCAGTATCGTCATCGGATTTGACGTCCTTGGAATCTTTGTCGGAGTCTAGAGTCGACCTAGATGAGGATGGGGATGCCGGTCGTCCCTACTCACCGCCTGCATTCATGAGTGATTATGGGGATGTGACGGATGCAGAGGTGTGGGTCAACGGAGAAGGCTCCAGTCGGGCTCCCTCACCGTCCATCATTCAGGACGAGGTGAATGATCCAGGGATTCAAGATCCTATCAGATTATTGGTCTCTAAAGAAGTACCTGAGGAAGCAACTGAGGGGGTAACTATACGCTTACGCGGATAGCGAGATGATCTGACCCATTCTGTAGACTTGTGGCGAGGAAAGAGGTCAAACTATCAGAGATGCACTTGAACTGTGGACCTCAATAGGATCTAATATGGACCCAGATGTAATGGAGGCATTCGATGAAGGCATCCTGAACTTGAAGAACGCACTTCGCCGGCACAAGCAACGGGTTAGGCTCTTTTGATTCATACAACAACCTTAGTCCCCCGATCGTGCCTTCATATATATAGGAGCTGTATATGGTTCAATATTCATCGCAATATAGAATGTACCTAAATAAGAAGTCTTACAATGATGAAGAAAAGAGAGCAGGAGCCGCGTCACTACCCCCCAAAGTTGTCCCGCTCAAGGCATTCAAAGAAAGGAAGTCCCAAGAACCATTGAATCAATCCCTCTCAGTTGAATTACCAGTATAACCTCTTAATATAGCTCTAATATCCTTATAGGAGGTAGATGATGTACCGCGATAACGGAAAAACGACGGATGGCCAGCCAGGCTCTCTTGATACCTATAGCCTGTGTTGATAATGAACCATATAACAGGTAACTAGACAAGAAGCAGACAACGCAGTTACCAAAGGAAAATGGAGGTGCTCGTACTTGCTTTGATGGTAGGAGGATCCTGCGGTTCCCCAAGAATTTGTAACCTCTGGAGATAATTTGCAATTCTAATGATAAAATGGGTCAATACCAAGAGGTAGCGGTATCAATACATTCCCTGAGGAGGAGATATCGATAGCTTGAAGAAGAAATAAGCGATTTCATCGGGGACGAGGAGGGACGATCTGGAACTGACTATGTAAACCGTATACTTGCACTTCATTTAACTTGTTTAATCATAGTACCTGATAAGTTTCTTAGTATTTCTCCAAGCGCAAGGCTGCACATTCATATAGAAGAAGACTATCTGGCACGAACGGCTTTCGTACCTCACGAGGATTTTCTATTCCTATGTGCTCTCTTTTCTGGGTTGAATACCGTGCATGACCTGGGGTATGCAGAGCCTTAGGGCCGGGAAAGGTGACCCTTGGTTAAACTTCGATCTATTGGGTCTTCTGATCACTGGAAGTTCAATGGGATCATCGAAAGTCTCAAAGTCGGGTGGCCGTCATCGAACAACCTTGTCTCTCCACAACTTGGAAACATCCATTTCGACGCGGTTGGTGAAGACTCAATAACGCCGCCTTGTGACCTTTATCTTTCCTCGAGATGTCTACCTCGGATCCACCTCGCTGTATTTCATGTTTACGGTCTTGGAATGTCGTGGCACGTGCCCGTTCATCTCGTAGAACCAAAGCAGGACCAAAGGGTACTCCTCTGTCACGTTGTGAGGCATGTCATTGGGCAAGATTTAAGTCTAACAATCGATCAAATCGCAATGCGGATCTCCTGCCACAGCCATCCAAGATCATAACGTTTGCTGCATTCAAAGAGGAACTGCACCTACTCGGCCAACAACTGGACTGGAACTCCTTCTCGGCCGTCATTTCTGACATTTGGAATGGAGATAGTCAAGACGTTCGGGCCATTTTTTCCCGTATCAGTGCTCTCGTCCATGAACATACCGGTTACAAGTTTATTCACAAGTACGCCGAAAGAAATTCATGTACTCACTACTGACCTATATTCATAAAGCAACAGCACTAGGAGTTACAAGATGGGAACACCGCCAGAGGCTATACAGCTTTCCTGCAAGCAACGTGACCCTTGTCTGCCGCCTCGAAAGCTCAATCAAAAGATACCAAAGACTAACAGTAAACTTCCAACAAAACGTTTTCTATGCAATGGCAGAGGTATAATTATATTTGACCGTCAATCTCGTCAAGTTTCCGTACAATTGTCCCATCAAAGCCGTCACCCTCCCTACCTGAGCACCGGCATCCCAGCCAAATGGATAAAATTTATTATTGAAAGACAAGAATGGCACTTTAGCGATCTGGTATGTACTAATTTAGTATTCTTATCTGACTTCCTAGCTGACGTTGCTCTCGACTTAGCTTTGGAAGGCGATTGTAGAGGAGAATGAACGAAATGGCGGCGGTCCGCTCCTGTTCACTGAAAAAATGGTGACCAATTTCTTTGGAAGATTCCTTGTGAACAGAAAAGGAAAGGGTACAATGGCCTCGGATCACTTACTACAGCTTTGTGTTAGGTCACACAATGACTCGGATTCTGATGCTCCTTGTCCACCTCCTTCATTTATAGGTGAGGGTTACGACGAAATAGACATAGATACTTGGGTCCACGAAGGAGACTATATCCCATCGCTGGTTAATGATGGAAATGCCGGTGAAGATGAGAGCCCTGAAGATGAAGGTCCCATTGTAGGCGCACTCTGGGGGAATAAAGGGAAGGTAACGTCACTTCATTAGTGCTATAGTACGAGGCTTTATCTGACTCGTTTGGTAGAGTTATCACGAGAAGCCTGTCAGACGAGCAAAGTTAACCTCGACCCGAAACGGTGATATATGACCAGATACCATCGATTGCTCGAGTTAGGCCACTTAACTCTTGACAGCAAGGTTTCCTCAGTACGGGCAACAAGTCCACAACCCGAGCCAGCCCAATCCATTCTAACGAGAAGACATGACTGGGTCATCTGCAAGGT